ATTGTAGTGGTGTCTGTCGTGGTACTATATAATACTACATATCGTGTTACTACAAATAGTACTACATATCATGGTTCTGTTTGTCATGGTACTAATGAACTGCCGTAATACGTCCATGGCTCTGGTGGTAAAAATAAATGGAAAAAAAAACAAATACATGGTTAACAACAATAGTAGTCATTTGTTAAGATGGTGGCTTGGGCGGGTTGGCTCTTCATGACACACTGGTGACATGACACACTCACGATACAAGTCACGCATTGTGAACACACCCACACCGGCAAAAACGAAGCAGTCACCATACCTCGGCAAACCTCACTCATGAGGGCCCTCACTCACCCTCACTCACCCTCATCTTCACAGGTGAGGTGAGGGTGAGTGAGTTTCTGAACCAGGAAAATTCATGAGTGTGAGGGTGAGTGAGGGCCGTGAGGGCGGTGAGTGGCGTGAGGGCCATGAGTGCGTGAGTGGTGTGAGGGCGGTGAGTGCGTGAGGGGTGTGAGGGCCATGAGTGCGTGACAGCAGTGAGTGACATGAGAGGCGTGAGGGCCGTGAGGGCCGTGAGGGCCGTGAGGGCGGTGAGTGCATGAGGTGGGGTGTGAGGGCCATGAGTGCGTGAGGGCGGTGAGTACGTGAGGCCCCCTTCAGATCGAGCATCTTTCTCAGCAATTTTGGTGTTAATGGCGGGTTGTTCTCTAGCTTTCCCTAGATCGACACGAATTGCTGAGATCGGGTCCGGCTCGAAATAAGCAAGCAACTCGGAGCAATTCGAACACGTTTAACGCGGCTGCATCCAATTTGGGACGCAAAAGTTTCAAGTGATACCTTCGTGCCGGTGATGATGACACCGAAAGACTTGGTTCTGGTTTGAAATTGATCGTTTTTTGGAAATAAACTGTTTCAGAAAGGTGCAGTAGTATTCTTAACGAGATTTAAATGCATAAAAACACGTTTATAACGCGTAATTGTGTCTAAATAGTGCAAGAAAAATAAAACTTTATGATGACGATGGCAAATTGCAGCAATTGGTCTGTGTGATCGCGGGCGGCCCGTGTTGCTGGTGTTGCGACGTAAAGTTTCTGGGCGAAATTGCCCCATCTGAAGCTGGCCTGAGTGGCGTGCGGGCCATCAGTGCGTGAGGGGCGTGAGGGGTGTGAGGGCCGCAACGGCGGTGAGGGGCCTGAGGGCGGTGAGGGCCGTGAGGGCGGTGAGTGGCGTGAGGGCTATGAGTGCGTGAGGGCCGTGAGGGCGGTGAGGGCCGTGAGGGTGGTGAGGGCGGTGAGGGCCGTGAGGGCGGTGAGGACCGTGAGGGCGATGAGTGGCGTGAGGGCGGTGAGTGCGTGAGGGCCGTGAGGTTCAGTGAGGGTGAGTGAAGGGCTGAAGGTGAGTGTGACTGTGAGGGTGAGGGTGAGTGAGGGGCTGAAGGTGAGTGTAGCTGTGAGGGTGAGGGTGAGTGAGGGGTTTAGGTGAGTGTGGCTGTGAGGGTGAGGGTGAGTGAGGGCGACCTAAAATGCCGACCTCTGGCAGTCACATCGCGCTGACTGTCTATTCTGGTTTGTATTTTTGTCTTCTTCCTTTACACAGATAAAAAGAAAATAAATAGGAGTAAAAAATTGCAGTCACACTTTGTTGTTTTCTCTCCGCTGTTAAGACAACTATTATTCTGCATGGTATTTCGTCCTTTTCTAAACAATTTCAATGGCTAACGCACTTGTTACCTTCAAGAGTAGTTTAGGTATAACAAACCCATCTCGCAATGTGATAAAGAAGGATTACTAAGAAAGGTGTCACTGAGCTTCACGACACATGCTGCTTCGATGATTTCTCTTGTTAGTGGGTGATGATTCATGCTTATTACGCAGCTATTTTGAAGTTAGCTGAGCATCCGAGGTCGTGGCAGTGAATGCCCGAAAGTACAGAATTAGCTACTCGGTTCTTGTTGTGTTCTCTTAATCGATCGTTAACACAACATCCTGTTTGACTTATGTGAAATCTGCCACATTAAATGGGGAAGGAATAAAGTCACCACCCCTTCTGAGCAAGGGATGTAAGTGTTTTTTTTTCTCGTTTGTTCAGCCTGCGTTTTTTTTTCTTTACATAAACCTGAAAGTTCGTGGAGGGTGGAAAAGGTAATACGAAAATTTGTTCGGTTACCTACCTTCTTGAGGTTATGGGCCATGTTATGAGTATAGGTTATAACTACGGGCTTTTGTTTCTTTTTCTGTCTCGTGATTTGGGAAGTGTCGTTTCACCTATTCGGATTCAGTTAAGGATGCTTTCAGCAGCTGAGGTTAACAGATGTGATGGGTAATATGCTCGCTGTATCCTGGTTATTTGAAAAACTTGGACTAGAGCGGGCAGGACTTGAAAATATAGTTTTTGAAAGACTGATTCGCTATACCACCATTTACCAACTTAGGATGAGCCGAGCCAATATTAATGAGCGGTTCTTCGCCCTGCAATCATATGACCAATATTCATGGCACGTCACAAGAAACAGTCTAAGCTTCGGAAAACTTAAAGATCCTGACTCAGGAAGCTCATGTGTTATCTCTCATGGATCAAAATATATTTTAACATTGGAGAGTACGATGGGCAAAATTTCGGGGGAGCCTTGATCTTTGATGTATAGGAGTACTAAAAGTTATCAAGCCATCTGAATAATAACCTATATTCATAACATATATCATAACTTCAAAAAGATTGCCAAACGAGCAAGTATTAATGTTGTTTTTTCGGTCCCCCCAAAGCTCTCAGGTTTATGTACAAAAAGGCAACGTTACGCCAAAAAATAATATAGGCTGCACAAAGAAGGCAGAAACCCTTACATCTCTTGCTCAGAATGAGTGGTTTATTCTTTCTCCCTTTCACGTGGAAAATTTCTTGGTCAAACAGGAACATGCGTTAACGACCGATTAAGAGTACATAAAAGCAGCAGCCGAGTAGCCAATTCAGGATTTCTAAGTATTCACTGCCGCGACTGCGGATGCTTAGACACCTTCAAAATCTTTTTCGTAATCGTCAAGAATCATCACCCACGAACAAGAGAAACCATCAAAGTAGCAAGTATCGGAAAGATGAGTGACGCATGTGTTAGCAATCTTTCTATATTACGTTCCGAGCAGTTGTTTTACCTAGACTCCGATCGAAAGTAACTAGTGCGTTAGGGAAAGAAATCATTGAGAAGTGGACGAAATCCCGAGCAGAATAATAGCTGTTCGACTTAGCAGTAGAGAGAAAACAACGATGTGTGATGACATTTTTCTTCTTTTTTTTTTTTTTACCGGTGTAAAGTAAGAAGACAAAAATATAAACCAGAGTTGTTAGTCAGCGCGACGTAAAAGGTTGTTTTTTGCCGATGTCCACACGTTCTGAGTGTGCGACTTATCTTGTGCGTTGTTACCTATAAATAGGGTTCCACGTTTTTGGTTTTTATTTTTTTCAAAAATCGACGCACTTTTTTTCGGTTTTTATTTTAAAATTTAATTTTCGGTTTCTTCCGTGTATTTTTATGCCCACAAAAGTTTACCGTTTTCTTTTCGGTGAATGTGAAGGAAACACCATCGGACACCGGTTCAGATGATCCTTCTAGCTCTGATATATCATATTTGTGATCACTCAAAGTATAGCGGCACAGATACATTGGAAACAAAGAAATGTGCGCAACTGTAAAAAAGAAAGAAAAAAAAAGTACACAGAAGTACAAACAAGTCCTTGCCTAAAAAACACGGAACTTCACCTTCTGTACATCAGGATTACGTACGTGATCTTATTTTAGTAAACAGACATGTACTTTCCCAGGTTCTCCTTGTTGATTCACGCTCATTCTTTCCTGTAAATGACCCTGGGCTTCGAGAATGCCCTCTCAACGTTAACACTGAACACTAGCAGGCTGAGAAGGTGAAGCGCTGCCTGAGTCAATATCGGCCAATCAACGAAATGAGACTACCGAAAGAGACGCGGTGCGACGTTTTGAAGCACAACATATTTCGTGTACAACTCTGGCTGCAGATATTACATGGAGCGAAGGACTTTATACTAACGAACACCCGAACTTTCTTTTTTTTTTTTTTTTGAGGACCAGGAACTTGACAAACTAGAGGCCCGTTCACACATTTGCGACCTCTTAAAACTGGGCGCCTCGAAACCTCTTACAACGAGAGGACGAGCTGGCGCCATCTATTCGGTAGCAGTGTAAACATTGCGGTCCGGCATATTTCCTATTTCTACATTGACTTAAAACGAAAGAAACACACAACAGGACGAAACAGACGACACAGCTCGCGCATTCTCCTTTCTTTCATGGCTCGAAAAGCTCTTGTCAACGTTATTAACGAGCCTTTTTTACAGTTATTACGCACAGTTGACCTCGAAAATCCCGCAAAACCTTCTCTTTTGTGAAATGCAGTTCCAGGGTCACCACACAGATGGCCCCAGAGTGCAAGTGTGTTCTCTCGTCCTAAGAAATTTTAAGAGGTTTCAAAGCTCCCGTCTCTCGGTCGTACTCGGCAGCAAGAGTCACAGAAAGGACACAGGTATCCCGCGAAGGCCAATCCAAAACCTCTTTTGTTGCATGTTGAACCTTGGTAGAGGGCAGTCATGAAGAGGTTACACCTTCTCGAACCTAGCAATGCCCTCTCCTCCCTCCCCCTTACCCCACCCTCTTCCTGCCCATCTCGACGCAGCCCTAAAAAAACTGACTATTTGTGGTTAAAACATAATTTTAGAATATGCATTCAGGGATATTTTATCGGTTTTTATCGGCTTAAACCGAAAACGCCGAACCTAAGAACTGACCTTTTTCGGTTAAAACCGAATTTCCGAAATTGTATTTGGCGTACTTTTATCGGTTTTTATCGGTTTAAACTGAAAACTCCGAATTCTACCTATAAGTCATTAATAGCAGGAATATTTTGTCTCATTCTGAAGCTTTGCATTCTGAACTATTAAATGGCAGGAATGGATTTCAAGATTAATAAATGGTGTGAGTAAACACTTACGTCTTTTCTGTACTGGGCATATGTTTTGCTAATGTTCTGCTCATTGGACACAATGGCTGTGGTGTCCCCGATGGAGTCTGCCGCTCGGTCAATCACCTCTCCTACAGTCCACCCCAGAAGTGGTTCTTTTCCTGGCACGTGGAAGTAGCTGAGTTTGGAGAGGTCCCTGCGTCCACATAGAGAGATAAAGATTTGCCATCAGAAAGATGCACCCACCAATATGGTCCCTCCTAATATCTGTGCGGAAGATGAGTCCACTTTTTATTTGTTTTATTACCCCGGGTGCGTATTATGTAGGCACTTTTAGTGTATCTTCTATAAGTATAATGTATATCTATCCCCGAGTACTATACACCAACTCATGTTTACAAACAAACCGGAGCGCCCCTAGCGGACGCCACCGGCGCCGCGCATGCGCGGTGGACGGTGGGCAAGAAGTTCGCCGTCGCCCATAAACAAACCTTTGAATCGCGTTGTTGCCGGCGTCGGTGTGAGTCCCCGTGCACTTTTTCGCGTTCGAATTGTTGATTCTACATCCACTTAACAATGTTTAACTACTTGAGCGGCTTCAGCAAAATTAACGAGGCTCGTTACACCGCGAAACTTTACGTGAATCATGTGACGTGCGGCGATTCATTTCACGTGGACGCCGCAGAATGGGCGCTAAAGCCTGACTCCCACGATGAGATTTATCTCGCTATTTTCAGTCGCGAAGTCGCTCGGGCTGCGAAAGTGTGGACCGTAGCTGAGGTGGTGGACGTCGATACTGAAAACCGCAAGTAGAATCGGGCATTACAAGTCGGTGATGGCCACTGCCACTGGTAACAATGATCAACATCTTGTATCTACTGTTTACACTTAGCCTACTTACCCCAACCAATTTCAAAAGTGTTTTGAGGCCTGCACTTACTTCTTATCGCAATTACCGGGTCAACGTCTGGTTTACGGGCCGCTGTCGTTTGAAAGAGTTGACGACAAAAAGCAGACAAGTTTGAAAGAGCAGACGAAAAGAAGCACCGCGTCCCGCGTCAACAAACCATTGGAATGTCACGCTGTCGGCATTTGTGTGAGTCTGCATACTCTTTTTTCCGGTTGGAAGTGTCGATTTTACGTCCTCATAGCAATGTCTTACCACTTTAATCGCCTGAGCGAAATTATCAAGGTTCGTTACGCCGCTAAACATTGCGTAAATAATTTGACGTGCGGCGATTCATTCGCATGAACGCCGCAGAATGGACGCCAAAGCCATGATGAGATTCTTCTAGATATTTTCGGTCGCAACGTCGCTCGTGCTGCAAAAGTGTAGAAGATAGCGGCGATGATCGAGGTCGATACTGAAAATCGGAAGCGGGAACAGACCAAGCCTAACAAGTCGGTGATGGCCATTGGTACCTATGATCAATATCTTGTATCTACTGTTTACACCGAGCCAACTTAAATCTTTTGAGGCCTGCGATTACAGCTTATTGCAATCACCGGGTCAAAGTTTGGTCTACGGGCCGCTTTTGTTTGGACGAGCAGACGACAAAAAGCAGACAAGTTCGAAAGAGCAGACGATCAGGCGGCCGTGTGAATTTGAAAACGCACTGAACCCGCGGGTGGTCCGGACACCTTGGCGGTTTTGTCTCGTTCATGTTGGAACAAAACAAATACATCTGGCGACCACAAAGTGTTTTCCGCACAAGCAATCGTAGTTCAACAGCGTCTGGTTTGCCCTTGTCACGGCTACTATCCACGTTCTCGGACGAACGGAGGGGGCAGAAACACATGAAAACTGATCTTCTAACCTTTCCAGACACTCTTGGTACAGCCCCCGTCGCAGCATATTGACAAGAAGGCAGGTTTTTGTCTGGTTTATCCCTAAAGAACGCGGGAATGCATGTCTCGCACCGCGACTTCTGCCCACCACCCAGACCGGAAGTGCGACCGACGCGCCACCACCGCGGCGTGACGTAGGAGAGTTGAGTTGGTGTATAGGAAATTACCTTAAAGGGGTACTCCACCGTTTTTTTTATTGTCTCCGATTTGATTGAAATTTTGCTAAACTAACCAACAAACATTGCTAAAACAGTATCCTAAATATTAGGTCAAGATATTGTTTTTTCGTGAAGTTATTGAATTTACAGTTTTGGTCTTCACCATGTTTTTCAAACTGAAAGTCTCTACTGGCAACAACAACAAAGTGACGTCAGTGGAAGGCAGGGGTTTACGTTTTGGACTACAGAAGTTGTTCCCAACGGATTTGAAGCAGTTTCTTGGTGTCAAATGAGTGCTTTGGAAGCTCGCTCCCGTATCCGCGCTCCAGCACGGAACAAATGATTGGCATATTCTATTTTTAGACTACTTGCTCGACTGGCAAGCCCGCCTGCCACTGACGTCACGGCACTGAAAAGTGCGCGAATATTTGAATATTGGTTTTTGCACCATTTTCATTTGCCGATTTCACAATACCTATTATTAATTTCGCGATGCTAAATAGCATACCGGAAAGGCTAAAGGCCGGGGAGTCAGAAAATATAGTTAGTTGAGGTAGCTCAAAAAAATCGGTGGAGTACCTTTTTAAAGGGTAACTGCAAAAAAAAAAGTTTTTTTGTTTTTTTTTAAACAGCCTAATTGGGACAAGCATGTCACAAAACAAATCTTCCGCGAAAAAACTTTTTTTTTTTTTTTTGCAATATTTACGCCACAGGGCGTACTTTAGTCGGAGTCACAACCTCTCCACATTTGAAACTCCCGCTCTTGCGACGCGCGTGGAGTGACTGGAATACGTCACTCCGTGACGTAGAGCAGCCACTCCGTGATGTATAATACCAACTTTGTGGCGCGCGATTTAAAACGGACGAAATAGCCGCAAACTAAAATCAGTCCCGCGCGATAAATATTGCTGTAAAAAATTTTGTTTTTGTTGGAAAAATTGTTTTGTTACAGGCTTGTCCCAATTAGGCTGTTTAAAAATACAGTTTTTTTCTCTGCAGTTATCCTTTAAAGGGTAACTGCAAAGAAAAAACATTTTTTTAACAGCCTAATTGGGACAAGCATGTCACAAAACAAATGTTCCGCGAAAAACATTTTTTTTTGTTTATCAATATTTACGCCACAGGACGTAATTTAGTAGAGTCAGAACCTCTCCACATTTGAAACTCTCGCTCTTTCGACCCCCGCGGAAGAGGAGTACGCCCCGCCCCTCACTCTCCTTGCGTTGCGGAGTTGAACGACGCAGCGTCTCGACTTCCGGCAAGATCTGGCAACTACGCCAGGCCGCGGTATTGTTTTGGTTTGACGCGGTTTGCGAGCACATGTAGCGAAGACGTGACAGGAGAAGTGCCCCTGTGATGTTCCCGGAAGACGGAAAGTATCGTTCGTAATCGTCGTGCGCGCTTTGAAAGCGAAGGGAGTCACAGAATCCACGAGTGCGCAACCACAAGCCAAGGTTCACGACAGCGCTGCGTTGGTTTCGGCGATCTCGTTCTGTTTGGTGCAACACGGCGATGCGACAAAGAGATGGAACGTTCGTGGTGTGTGTAGTGCGGTGCTAACACGGAGCGCAAATTGGTTGTTGTGGGGTTGACGTTCAACCAGTTAAGTCCCGTCGCCGTCAGCTGATCCAGTCAAACTGGTCCGGGAGGACGCTGGGAGCGTTTTTAAAAGTAAATCTGACTCGTTCTGTTTCAAAATGTGGAAGTTTCCCGACGCATACCATGAGTAAAAAGCTGCGGGCGTTTTCAACAAAATTACGTCGTTCTAATTGAACAATGGACTCCGAATTGTTGTCCTAAATCTGCCGTTTTTATGCTTCGTGTTGGATTGCTTTTGCACAGCGACGTGTTGCATCGTGCGGTCTGAATAAATTTGGGCACGATTTCGTACCTGCCTACAGATGCATGAACTGAGACCATTTTTACGTAGTGGACATAGTGCTTTTTTATTTTCTGTCTAGTCGCGGACGTTAGGTGCACACGGGGCGAATCTCGACGGCCTCCATAGCGATATGACGAGACCGTAACTAGACACGTTCGTCGCTACGCGAACGCCCGATTGCCTCCAGCCAAATAGCATTCCTTGCGGGGCGACATGGCTGCTGGAAAGCTCACTGTCGGGATCACGCATCTGACATCTCCGAAAAATCAGCATTTGCACGCGCAAACAAGCAAAACAAACAAAAACAAAAAAAAAAGCACGCTAAGCACGCAAAGAGGAAAACGAAAGAACCGCGCTATGAAAGCCGAAACCCCGCGTCGCTTCCCATCACTAACACCTGCGACAGCTGCTAAACACACTCTACTTCACTTCAAGAAGTCTCACTCAAGCACCTGGGTCAGCACGAAACGACGAAACACTGATCACTTCGGCGAAACGATTAGTCGAGGTAGGCGAGACAGGCGGGAGCAGAGACTTCGGCGGCCATGAAAGAATGGCGAAGCTTTTGTTTGTATGAATCCAAACGGAAGTGCCCGTCTTGTAAACCTTTTGTAAAGAATGATAACTCTCATCACATAGTTATTCTTTAAACGTAAAAATATGCCGCTCAAAAGGAAATTGCAACATATAACAAAGGTTTAACAACCAAGATCTAAGCTGTCAATCAAACTCTTAGCCAATGAGAACCTTTTGGGATTGACGTCACATAATCACAACTTCGTGGCGCGCGATTTAAACCGGACGAAATAGCCGCAAACTAAAATGAGTCTCACGCAATAGATATTGCTGCAAAAAATTTTTTTCTCGCGGAAAATTTGTTTTTTGACATGCTTGTCCCAATTAGGCTATTTAAAAAAAAGCTTTTTTTTTTCTTTGCAGTTACCCTTTAAGGGATATGCAGGACCGGAAGCTAAATAAATAATTAGCCAAGAGAGTGTGCTGCGAAAATGTTCTGTCTTGTAAAAGCGTGGCACTTTACACCTCAAAAGCACTAATATTTGCTACACAGCGCTGATAACAAGTTTTCAAAACTAGATTCGATAAACCAATAAAATTCCGTAAAATTTGCGCTGTATCTGTTTTTGTCCTTGGGTTGTGATCCCAGGTGGAGTGCGAGCATAATGGTAGGCGTCAATGTTCAAACGAATACATGTTTTGGATCGATTAAACAACAATTTATTTATTTATTTATTTTCCTACATGGCCCTTTATCGTGCATTATTGTGTGTGTGTGCGTGTGTGTGGGGG